TCCCGAGATCCCTCTCGGCCAAGGATGTGGCTTACATTACTAAGTCTTCCCTCCCGAGATCTCTCTCGGCCAAGGATGCGGCTTACATTAATTTTTACGAGTCTTCCCTCCCGAGATCCCTCTCGGCCAAAGATGTGGCTTACATTATTTACAAGTCTTCCCTCCCGAGATCTCTCTCGGCCAAGGATGCGGCTTACATTAATTTTTACGAGTCTTCCCTCCCGAGATCTCTCTCGGCTAAGGATGCGGCTTACATTAATTTTTACGAGTCTTCCATCCCGAGATCCCTCTCGGCCAAGGATGTGGCTTACATTATTTACAAGTCTTCCCTCCCGAAATCTCTCTCGGCCAAGGATGCGGCTTACATTAATATTTACGAGTTTTCATCCCGAAAGAAGCAATTATAATTTTACATCAATATACGATAGCAAAGGAAATACGAATTCATTAATAGGGCACTATTGGCCCAAAAAAGTACATTAAAAGGGCACTATCGGCCCATCATTACAAAGAACAAAACGCTTAAGACGCCACCTCCGGTTCCCCCTGAACCGGACCATCTTCCGGATATATGTTTAACAAATAAACTAATTTTATAAAAGGCCGTTGTTAGATTTGACCATGTACCAGTTGCCTTGGCCAATTCGGTTTGGAGTGTTCTTAAATGGTGATTTTGTGTTATAGATTATTTGATTCACTAGAACGTTAGGTTTTCCTATTCGACCAAGTATAATAAATATATTTAGGAAAATTAACTTTTAGATCCCCATTTTTTCATACCCCCGTTATATTTCTATATCTATAAGAAGTTTTGATTCTCTTTTTATACAGAGCTTTATGTGCAAACTGAGTAATGAGTGTAACTAAACTCCTATTTAGAGTGTGAAACCATAACCACTCTTAAATTTCCTTAACTACTAATCAAATCAGATAATGTCATGAAAAATAGCACCTCCCCTCAGCTTAGCAAGTAGCAACATCTCATACCTTAAATATGAAACCGATGCTTATGGAAAAAGTGAAAAACCTTGTCGTCCATAGAAGACTTATTATCTGTATTAGGTTATGAATTATGAGTAGTCCATTCCATAAGCACCATCACAAAAGTTAATAATTAATAAGCACCACATTCATTGCATCCATACTAAAGTACTTTCACATGATAGACATAAACCATAAACTAGATGGTACTCACTCTAAGTGCTAGATTGAGTAACGAAGCTAGAACTATTTTTCAATGCCTCGAACTCAATCAACACTAAACCTGTTCAACCAAGAACTACAATTACACTTCACAATAACTGCATAACCCTTTCTTTCAACTGCTGCTTCTTGTACTCAAACTCATCAGTTTCAGCCAACTGGTTTCTGTCGAGCCACTCTATGGTCTCCTCAACCACCCTCTCAAGACTCTTCACTCTGTCCCTCATCTCAAAAGCATAATTCTCAAGCAAGTTCTTGGCCCTCACCTTGTTCCTCGCCTCCTCATCATCTTCCTTATACCTCTCTGCATCTCTCACCATCCTCCTCATCTCTTCGGGGCTCAACCTCCCATGCTTGTTGCTGATCGTGATCTTCTTCTTCAGTCCCGTGCTCCTATCTCTAGCACTTACCTCCACAATGCCATCAACGTCCACATCGAACCCAACGTGGATCTGAGGGACCTCCCTCGGCGATGGAGTGAACCCCGAAAGCTCAAACTTCCCTAGAAGGAAGTTATCCTCTGTCTTGGTTTGCTCCCCCTCGTACACTTTGATCAAAACGCTCGTTTGGTTATCAGAAAACGTGGAGAAAACTCTCTCTTTCTTGGTGGGGATCATGGTGTTCTTGGGAATCAACACTGACATTTCACCACCACTGGTCTCAATACCAAGACTAAGTGGCATCACATCCAGCAACAACAACTTCTCCACCTTCTTGTCCCCTTCACAACTCAAAATCGCTGCTTGAACAGCTGCACCGTATGCTACAGCCTCGTCTGGGTTTATGCTCTTGCAAAGCTCATTCACGCTGAACATGTCCTTCAGAAGTTGCTGCACCTTGGGAATTCTAGTGGAACCACCCACCAGAACAAACTCATGGACTTGCCCTTTGTGAACTCGCGCCTCAACCAGACACTTCTCGACGGTCTCCATGCACTTGATGAACAAGTCCTTGTTCAGTTCCTCGAACAAGGCCCTTGTAACAATTGCATGAAGATCAACCCCTCCACATAAAGAGTCAAGCTCAATAGTGGTTTGAGAACTGGAGGACAGAATCCTCTTAGCTTTCTCACACGCTGACCTCAACCTTCCAAGAGCTTTAGCGTTCCCACTAACATCAATTTGGTACCTCCTCTTGAATATACTCACAAGATAGTCAACCAATTTGTTATCAAAGTCCACACCACCCAAGTGCGTGTCTCCCACCGTGGCCTTAACCTTAAATATCCCTTCATCAATTGTCACCAAGGAAACATCGAATGTTCCACCACCGAGGTCAAACACAAGCACGTTCTGTTCACCTTCTCTCCACCCTTTCTTGTCCAAACCGTAAGCAATAGCAGCTGCAGTTGGCTCGTTGATGATCCTCAAAACGTTCAAACCCGCGATTTTCCCAGAGTCCTTCGTGGCTTGTCTCTGCGCGTTGCTGAAGTAAGCAGGGACAGTGATCACTGCATCCTTCACTGTGTGACCCAAATAGGATTCAGCAACCTCCTTCATCTTAAACAGCACCATGGAAGATATCTCTTCGGCTGTGAGGTGTTTCTCTTCGTCTTTGTAGGTGACAGCAATCATGGGCTTGTCTCTGTTTCCAGGGACAACCTTAAAGGGCCACAGCTTCATGTCTTGCTGAACAGATTGGTCGGAGAATCTACGACCGATCAAACGTTTGGTGTCGAAGACGGTGTTGTGTGGATTCGTGGTCCGTTGGTTCATGGCAGCGTCACCCAACAACCTCTGAGTGTCGGTGAAGGCAACGTAAGAAGGGGTGGTGCGGTTGCCTTGGTCGTTGGGAATGACCTCGACGTGGTTGTGTTGCCACACTGCCACGCAGCTGTAGGTTGTGCCCAAGTCAATGCCTATGGCTTTTACTTTCTTGGTTGCCATGGAAGAACTTTGCGCTTGAGAGACACAGTGAGAGAAACAGGGGAGGGGAGTTGAATGGGTTGTGAATGTGGATGTGGTTCATGAATGGGAAGTGAGACACTATATTTAAAGACAATGAAATTTTTTTTTATATATATAAATAAAAAAAATTATAAAAATGATAACAACAAAGATTGAACCTAAGTATTTTATATATGTATAAACATAATATGTTAATTATAAAAATTGAAAGGTATTTTTAAAAAAGCTATAAGTAACAAAGGCTATTAAACCTTCTTTTTCATTCTAAACAACAATTTTATATGATTTAATTAAACCTATTATTTTTTCATTCAAAAGAACAATAAGGTAGTATGCTATGTGTGTGGAATCTGGCTGTATACCCAAAATTCTATGATTTAACTTAAGTTGTCTTGGTTTAAAAGAGAAAAAAGAATGCTAGCATGGGAAACACTTGTTCCGTAGTGGGTGGGGGAAGCTGTGTGGAAAGAACCATGAAGAAAATTGGGGACGTTGACTTGGGAACTGCAAGATTTGGTAATTTACCAAGAGAGGTTCTTAGCGGTTAGTAGTAGAGTGCGATCGATTGAACGAATGTTGAAATGTAGCACATGGTTTCAATGCATCGTTAATTGTTGCATTGTTGAATTCAATTTCGGGGGAAAGAAATGGTGATTTTCAAATGTTTAGAAAATGTAAAAGATAGGAGTAATAAATTTAATTTAATTTTAATGCACCGATTGTGTTGTTATTTAATCACATTTAAATGCACCCATAATTTAACTGTGGAAAAAAATTTCTCTTGTTATTTGATCACGTATCGTTATATAAATTTTTTTATATAATAATTAGCTTAAAACTTATTTCATAGATAATTTCTAATTAAATGATAGTGTATTTTATTTTATAATGTGATATATATATATGACAAACACAACTAATTCATTTTTTTAGGAAGTGAACTTGCATCATTGTAAAAGATCTTGTAAAATAAGCATCCTAAATTCATGTACATGACAAAAGAGAAAGTGTAAGTATTCAGTTGTAATAGAATTTTTTTTTTTTTAAATTCTATGGTACTCATCTTATTTGAGAATTTTTATATTTTATATTTTTAGTAATTTATTTAAATAATATTTATGATATTTTATTCTTTCAAATTTTAAATTATTTAGACATTTTATTTTTATTTTATATATTCTAATTTATTTGTAATAATATTATTATATATTTAAATAGTTTAATTTTAATAATTTTTAAGTATATTTTTATCTTTTTACTTAAATTTTTTAAATTTCTATATTTTAATTTTAATAATTTTTTAAGTATATTTTTTGTCTTTTTATCTTAAATTTTTGAATTTCTATATTATAATTTTAATAACTTTTTATTTCTACTATTTATTAATTTTTTTTCTTTTTCTTTAATATTTTATAATATTATTGAAATCTTATATTTTAATTTCTATAATTTTATCTTACTTTTTATTTTATAAGTATAATTTAGATTACTCATTTTATAATTAAATTAAATTTTTTTAAAATCTTTTATGAATTTACATAAAAAATATTGAAACTCTTCTATCTTTGAAGGTACTGTAACAATTCCCTTTTTTTTTCTTATCAAGAATTTATGGTTGTTTGTAACTTTTGTGTTAAATACTCAAATTTGTAAGGTGGTAGATAACTTATAATGAATTATCAAAATTATATATTTTTAGACAACAAATATTTTTGTTTGAATGAATCTTTACAAAAATTTAAATAAAAGGTGACAAATCACATAAATTCTTCTGTGTTTTTTTATAGCATTTTTTTGTGTTTATGTTTATCTTCAATTCTTATTGTTTATATATTTTCCCAACTTTTTTCATGTCTCTTTCGTATTTTTTTTTCCCTTCTCTTTATCATGTTATATCACATTATCGCCTATTACATCTTTCATTTTTTTTTTCCTCTTCGGGCCCTTGCTACGTATACAATGACCAATTTCAAAGGAAAACAAAATCAAAGGAATAATGTGAGGAAAAAGAAAAGTACTGAAACCTAATTTTTTTTACATTGAAAAAGAGATATATATCACTTGTTATTCCAAGGTTATATCAGCCAATAGTAATGCAAATATAATTTTAAATTTTTTACATTTCAATTTTACACTTTATCTTTTATTTTACCCATTATGTTTAATGTATGATTCTGTCTCACTCTTAAGTCTTAACTGAAGAAAAATCTACTTGACCTCGTGATATTCCCTACTTGACTTGTGACTTTTAAAGTTGACTTAGGTCAAAATTAAATTAATAAGTGCTTTTATCTTTTCCATTTTTATTTAATCTTATATTTTTTGTGTGTGTTTAATTTTCATTCTTTGACCTCTTTTACTTGTTTATTAGTATTTTTTAAATTATGATAAATATATGTGATTAAATTTATGGCATTATTTTGTCAATTGGGATTTTTTTTATTATTCATTGTGATACTTTTAAGTGCTAGTAAATTTAATAAATTGTGATAAAAAAATTATTCAAAGGAACAGAAAATAAATAAAACAAAATTGTGATAAAAATTTGTAGAAATAAATCAACATAAAGTTAACACATTAAATATTATTTTTATCTAACTTTATAAATTGGTAGAAAGAAAGAGAGAAATAGACAAATTTAATCATGATTTAAAATTGTAAAAGAAGGAATGTTATGTCACGTCATTAATAATTGCATTTACATTAGCCATTATATTAAATTGAATTCGAGTATGGTGATTCGGGATTAATTTAAAAATGTTTAATATACCGATATGTCTTTAAATTCTTTTTTTGAAAGACGTTACTTACTCTCCTTAAATTAAACTTTTTTTTGTAATTGAGTTATTAATTTTATACAATTCGTAAAAATGCCACATTATTATTTTTATAATTTCAAAACATAAAATAATTCTAAAACTCAATTTCTTTTAAAAAGTTATAATTTAATTTACTAATATAATTATTTTATTTAAAAATATAAGGCATAGTAATATATTAACCCATTTAAAAACATATGCATAAATTATATGTATATCTAACCATTAGAATGTATATCTAACCATTAGAGTTAGTCTAATGCTTAAATAAAGAAGAGTTTGAGTAGTTAGAAGTACGAAAACTTAAGTTCAATTATCATCGTAACTATTTTTGTAATATTTTCTATCTTTAAAAAAAAAAAAATTATGTATGTCTGACGGATAAAAGATGTACTTGGAGATAAGTTGGAAATTGGAAAAGGCGAACCCAGAATTTAGATTCCCTTTCGCACTACACTACTATACCATAGAACATAATAGAACCATCATTATTAGCACTGGGCCCATTCAACTCCTTCTCGCCTAAGGGGTTTATTTGATTGGATATTTGGCTTTAATAAGTCCGAAAGAAATACTTCTTATAAAAGATTTTTATGCCAGACTTATTTTATATGATAACTTAAGATGAGATGATAATGTAATTTTTTTATGTTATTAATTATATTTTATTAAAATTCTTAAATATGAAAACTAAATATATACTTTAATTTAAAAATATCATAATTATAATATATTTAGTTTAAAATAAGTATCATATGTTTTAAAATTAAATTCATATTGATAAATTTTCTTAACAACAATATTATTTTTAAAAACATTCCAATATTGATCAATTGAAGTTTTTTTTGGAAATGTATATTTTTTATTCGTCCTCTCCGAACTTATCCTACCAAACAAAAATTATTTATCTCGTGTAGATAAGTATTACAAAAAATTATTAGATATGACTATAGATGTTGCTGCTCGTTTACACTTGAGGCTCACATATAAATATTTCTATATTAATATAATATTATTTATTTTGAGTCTAAATTCTCATGGTTTTATTTTTAGTCATTTCTTAGAAAGTCTTATATCAATGAAAATTAAGTGTGTTTTATAAACTTTTATATCTTCTCATGATCCAATAATAAACAATTTATTTGTATCCTAATAAACCTTACCTCAAGCAAAAAGGGTCATAGATTAACCTCTCCTTTAGCAAAAATCTTTTTTTCTATCTACGAATATTCAATAGTGATCCTTAGAGCTTTAATATAACGCCTATTTTTATAGTTCTAAATTTTAATGCTAAACAATGTCTTACTAATGCAACTATAAAATTAACAATATTTATAATAAAAACAAAAAAAAATCCATGAAATAATGTACACATAGTTGGATTTATATACATCGCATACTATTATAAAATATTTACGATAAGTACTTATTTACAAACTACCTTTTTTTTACACAACTATTATAATAATTACATTGGTGGTGAAAATAAATTTACAGTTGGATTTACATGGTTGACAGGTGGTAAAAAAAAAGTCACTATGATAGGTCCATCAATAATAGTAAGATTCTCTTGATTGGGAAAAAATATAAAAGAAGACAATCCTATTCCTTGAAAAGTAATGGAATTAGAAATTACATTCATGTTCCAACTTCCTCTAGGGAAAATAACAGAAATAACAATTGTAAAGGGGTTTGAGATTGTTGGTAGATCCATTTATTTTGTAATATAATTAATTTAATTTTATAACAAAGAAAAGTAAGGAGTGAGAATAATTATCCAATAAATACAAATAAATCAATAGAATGTACAAAATTATTTGTAACCAATATTCAATATTTTTTATATTCTTGTTATAGTGAAATTTGAATTATTTTCTTAGTCACTAGTCATGATAAATGAGTTTTATCATAATTTCAAATAACAAAAGGATATTTCACCTCAAGTTCTTTACTCATTTAAATTTCTAAGATCAAACCTCCAACTACAAATTAATTCAAATTTTCATTCTTATGGCCATAAATTAACATTTATCTCTATAATGAATAATGAAATAATAATAAGATGAGCTTAGGAAAAATTAACAAGGCTAGATTAGAGTTAGAAATAATATAAAAATAATTAAGCTAAATAAATTAGACTATTTTTAATTATTTAGAATTTAGTATAATATAATTTATAGAAATGAGATGTATTAAAGAATATTAATCTAGTAAATAACAGTTATAAATAACAAAATAATTAAATAA